AAGCTACTCAAGAACTAAATATTTTTTTGCAAAAGTGCTGTTATAGATGATCTCAAAGTGTCTTCTGTCAAAGGTTTGCTCTTGAACAAAGACAAGTATTAGTAGAAGAATTACTTCTGTCTTAAAGGAGATGTTTGCAAACTAATTTCAGATGCAATTGTGAAAGTAACCTAGATTGCTCATATTGTGTTAATTTGACACAGCTTTTTTACTATGCCTGATCTGCCACCTGTTGAGAACAGAGCCCTGTACTTATTATAGTGCAAGAATGAAGAAAGCCTGGTTAAGTTCAGTCTTTTCTGAAATTACACCCTGCTGGAGGTGTCTTTATAACATTACTATTATTCACCCTAGAGCATGTGATCCACAAACTCAAGCATAGCATTTTAAAGGCTATCAGCATATACGGGATAGCTCAGATTTATTCTAAATAAAACATGGGATTCTATGATATCCAAAGCATACGAAGTGATGGCCTTCCACAGAAGGTGTCTTTTTAAATGGCAGCAAAAACGAGGCACTATTAAAACTCAGTTGAAAACTGTTAGATTTGAAGAAATATGGTAGTCTTATAAAAGATTAAAATTATCTCTTGCACCATTTGTTATGGGTTTTTTTCGATTGAGAAATACGACTGCAACATTCAGATCACACATAACATCAGTTCAGGATTCCAAATACGTATTTATACACATCAACTACCCATGCCTACACTGTAAAGTAAACTGTAGTAAACTCATGTGCTGTCTTATTTATAGCTTACAGTTACTGCTATTTATTGATTTATAGAGTTGATGGTAATTTTTTAATTTATTTGAAAGGTGATTCAATACAGCAGAAATGATTTAAAAGCAGAAGAATATAGCAAAAGGGCTCCTGTTTTGATTTTCCAAGATGTCCAAGAATGGGGCATTGTGAAGCTTTCACTCTCCTAAAACAATCTAATAATATATAGTGCAGTTGGGCTCCATTGTAGTATGTTTCTCCTACAGACAGAGCAAAGGTCACTGTCCATCACCCAAAGATGAATTCACCAATGGGGGACCTGCATGCTGCGTGATTACATATCCCTGACTATATCTGACAAAATCCTCAAACAATCATCAGCTGTAATGTCGCATTTTAAAAGCTAGAACACAACTTATTTTTCATTGTTTAACTGACTGGCTCCTCTTCTCTCTCTAACTAAACTGGCAATCTGACTTTTCCAACCATGTGTTTGCAAGCAGTTTGAGCCAGGACCTTTCTCCAAGACACCAGGGCAAGAGAGTGAGTCAGTGAAGTACAGAATTCTGCCCGAGATATTCTTTCTGCAATAGAAGAAATCTTGTGTCTTTGAGCCATCCGTTATTTTTGCCCATTCAATGAAATAAGACAGTTGGACACTTTCTTATTCTCCATCTGAGAATATTCAATACCAAGCTATAGCTGGGATGAACCGAGTTGTCACACTTGTCTAACTTGCAGATGGACCCAACAAGATAACTGCACAGACTTTAAAAGACCAAAGCAAGGTATTAACTTCATGCAGAGCAGTCATCAGCAGTGCTAGGAACAGCTCTCTCCTCTTTTCTCTGCTGGGGACACTACCTGCACAAAGTGAATAGCTGCCAGCCAGCTTCTTCTCAACAGGAAGCAAATCTTTGAGTATAAAAGTTCTTTATTCACATTAAAATTGTCAAGAGTTGAACTATTATTCCAAACACGTTTGGTAGTTCAGTTCATGGTAGAAAATACATATTTACATATTTATTTGTATCTGAGAATATGAAGTAATTATATAAGACTCTTAAAATCTAAGAGGTAGACCTAACATGATATAGTCTACGTATTGTAACTCTGAAGTTATTAACTCTTCTCCTTGCAATCTCTAAATGAAAAATCACCCTTTTGAATCACAGCTGATTGTTTCACAGATTTATTCTATTTGTTGTTTTGGTATTATATCAGTAAATTGTATATTGAATATGTTTGATTCCAAACAGCTGCCAAGACAGATTACTAATTGTTACAGTAAATTAAAACCCTCACATCAATACTGAATTTATAGCAGCAGTATACACTGGGAGAACTGGAATGTGGAATTTGTTTAACAATTGTTGCACTAACCACAACGTATTGTTATGTCATGTCTGCAAGAACATGACATGCTTTTATTTTTGTACTTGAATACAAATGTCTTTATTATTCCATATATAGTATGTACTGTATGTTGAGCTTTAAACTGCAAAGTCGGGATAATTTGAATTAAACTTCATCAAAGCAAGATACAAGTTGAGGATGTTTTGCTTTAAACTGCAGATATCTGATGAATTTTAATAACAATTTTCTTCTCAGTTTAATACCCGGTACATCCCCATTCTGAATGATTATGTGTGGTTCAATTCATTTTTTATTTTGAAAAGGTCATTTTAAAACAGTCAGGAATATTTCCTTCGCACCCTATACTGTACCATTTTGTTTTAAATGGTGATGACCTGAGCTGAATATGTAACCAAAAAGACTACATTTCCCAACTTGCCACACATGTTAAAGATTCAGGTGAAGTCATATCCACAGATTTCCAAACAATACTATACAGTACAGAACATCAACTACAGTATAGTACTGTAACGCAACAGGGGCTCAGGCAGGCGCCCTTGCCGCATTAGGTCGGCCCCCACCGTCAGGGGCTCGAACCTGGGATTCCTGTGTCACTCAACAGGGACCCAGCCCAGTGAGCCAAAGAGAGATCTGCTATTACAGGGAAGGGCGGTGACGTCACCTGCTCTGGTAAGCCGGCTCTTACACAGTACCTGTCGGCC